GATGACGTATAACATTTACAGGATTCTGTTAATATTTTGGTCAGGCAGGCAAATTCTCTTTTCGAGAGCTTATCCACACAATGACAAGACAAATCTAAAAAGCAATCAACATTAAATCAAATTATCTCACATTTAAAGTCATTACTAATCACAGACTAACCTTGTTCCGTGACTGGTCATGTTTGATGGTTATGTTTCAAGATCATGCTCACAAACCAAGCTGTGAATGACTGGATTATCAGGCAAAAGAATCTACACTAGCATAAAACATGACCTGTGCTCAACTCAACTCTGAGTCTACATATCTACGAATGTGTACTGTGAGAGAGAGAGACAGACACTTACCCGCTCTAATGTAATCTCTTCAAATTCATATTCAATTTCGGTCCCATTTACCTATTGGAGGGGGGGAAAAAATGAAATCCCATTAGATGTGTTTGCAGATGCAATTCAAAAAGGGCATTAATCATTTAACCGTCACATTAAATATCTAACTGTGATGCCACAATGACATCCTAAACCAGCAGCAGCCAAATGATGTGGAAAGAGGTTCATAACAGTTCAAAACATTTTAGGACTGAAGCCATTGTGCTAAAGGATTAGTCAAATAACCTCTTAAAAACATCAGCATTCAACTCATTCTCCTTGAATGAAACAGGGACAGGCTTTCATACATCTTCAGCAGACATTGAGCCTCATATCTATTCAGCTCACCGCATTAGCTGTAATTGTCTAAATCTGAGTCCGGTCACTAAAATCCATAATCATTTACCTGCTTGTACAATGGGACCAGGCCTCTAGGGCAGACATGCTGGCTCAGGTAGCCATTTGGAGATGAATTCATACTCAACGTGCTGCTAGAAATGGCACTGAAAGACAACTAATCCAATTTCAAGTTCAATTTCAAATGAGGGTCATCTTCGTGCTTGATTGGAGACATTCATCTTAATTATTCTTTAATAAGTGAAGCAAATGTAATGGCCATAAGGTGCTCTAATACATGCTAAAGAGCTTTTCAAGCAGCATGGCTGCTCTCACGTTCATAATTTGAGCGTACAAATATCTTCAAAATTTGACTTCTTCAGATAATAGAACTACAAGGACCTTGCTACTATGTACAAGCGAATATATAAAAGACAAAATTACTATAATTATTATCATATTATAGTTACATATTATATATAGCAGCTCAAAAGTTGGTAAGATTTTTTAAATGTTTTTGAAAGAAGTATATTATTCTCACAAGGCTGCATTTATCTGACCAAAAATATAGTAAACCAGTAATATTGTTATATAATATACAGTAATATTACTGCAATTTAAAATAACTGTAGCAGAAATGCATTGTATTTATTTATTTATTGGTGCACTCTATTGTAATACAATTTGTGTATGTTTTTACAACATTTTACAGCTATTAAAAGATTTAATTTCTGTGATAACCAGCATCATTTGACAGGTGCTGGCCACATAGCGTGTTTTGAACAAGGACATTTTATGTTGAAGTGCCTCGATAATAAGGCAGCCTTGGCATTTACAGTGAAGTGTGCATGTTTCACATTTTGACTTTTTTTTTTATACTGCAGGAAGTATTTCAGACAGCTGGAGAAAGAGAAACAGTCATTCATGGTTAATTGAAACCCAGTGAACAAGCTCATTTATGCCTCAGCCACCTCAGCTGTTCAACAGAGAGAAAGAGAGAGAGACATAGCTGAATACGGTCTCACTGCTCTCCTCAGAGCGACGTGACCTTTCATTTACAGCATCAGTTGGACGCCCCTAGACTACACCTGCTCTTAAACATGAGGACCAAACAGATGTCAAGAGCACAGAGCTGAACGCAGTCTCTCACTCCACAACATTTCTCAAATGAATTCATTTGTTGAATTCTAGCTGACGTTCTTCAGTCATGCAGGAAGATTTGGTAACATATTTAGTCAGTTGGTCCAGAGTCAACACCAGGATGTATTACTTAAGGGGGCATTTGGAACCTTGGATTGGGCACAAATTGGACACATTACTGTAACTAAATGCTAAAATTAGTGGTTCTCTTCTATCATCAAAAGACAGAAGGCACATAGACATGTATATGCATAACACTAAACTATGGAAGCCTGTTTCCACTAAATAAAATAAAGGTAATTGCGAGTTTATATCTCCCAATTCTGACTTTTTTCTTGCAATTGTGAGTTTAAATCTCCCAATTCTGACTTTTTTCTCAGAATTGCATGATATAAACTCACAACTGCAAGTTATAGTCAGAATAATGGAATATAAACTCAAAATTGCGAGAAATAAAGTCAAAATTGTGAGATAAAAACTGGCAGTTTAAATCTCACAATTGAGTTTTTTTCTAACAATCGCAAGTTTATATCGTGCAATTCTGAGAAAAAAAGTCAGAACAGAGTTTATATCTCACAAATTCTGATAAAAAAGTTCAGAATCGCAAGCTGTACATAAACTCGCAACTGCCAGAAAAAAGTCAGAATTATTAAATAAAGTAGCAATTATCCTTTTTTAAATTTTTTTTATTCAGTGGCGGAAATGGGCATCCACAAGTACAAAACATTATTATTATTATTATTTAAAATAAATACATTAAAATAGATAAAAATTAAAATAATAAACCACAGATACATATGCACAAATAAATAAATAATAAATAAATCAACTAGATCAACTGACTATTATGAATCACAGATGCAGAGAAAATATCCAAAATTAAACAATACTGTACATGATTAACGATTTAATTTGACTACTCACTTATACAGTGGTGTGAACATTGCTATAGAGTGATACATGTCTCAAGTTTAAATTCCCAATGAGTTTACTTGAAGAAACCATGTAATATAGAAACTCGCAGATTATATGAGCACAGGGATCCCCAGAGAACATTACCAGCCAAGACAAACGCCTACATCATGCTCTGCAACTGCTCAAATAATTTCACAATTAATATAATGAAATTGTTTGGTCAAACACAACATCTGATGTGGCCATTTTGCTTATTGTCTGAGCCAAAATTGGATTTATTTCTCAGTGCACATAAGTGCTTCTGTCTGACACCAACTAATCAGAGCGACGGCAGCCGAGCCCCTTCTCCGCAGTTTCATCAACGCGTATGTGCGAGAGCTCTTCAGAACACCCTGAATATGCCAACGAAGACAATCAGGGAGATAACTGATGGAAGTGATAATTGATGGATGAGCATGAGAAACCAATAAGACGGAGTAAATGAGATCATTAACAACAGCAGCGCTCATCAGAACAGAACAACACCCCTTATCAACCGACTTAAGACACTGATAATCAAACGCACTTCATTTGGTCATTAAGTTTGGAGGACTTTTCTTTAGGTCAGGAAAACATGGACTTTCCATCTTTCCCCTGAAGTAATGACCCAATTACTGGGCCTTGAGTGGCATTAGCATTCTGAGCCGCATGGTGTTGCAAATGTGAGACGCTGGGGACCGGGGGAGAGTGCAGCTGCAGAGGGGACGGTGGGAGGGGAGTTCACCATGCAGCATCCGGGGTGTAAAAGCTCACATTAAACTGGTGAGTCACTGCAAATGTGGCACCAAACAAACTCGCAAATGTACGATGCGCCTGAGTGCGTTCATCCGCACAGCTTGTGCAAAAGACGCAGAGCGGGTCATGTTTCCATGGCGACTGTTTGACTACAATGCAGGAACCGGGCACTTTCGAGCAAGAAGCTTTCCCTTTAGAGTTCTGCCTGATGGGATGGCATATTTTTACGCCCATCGCAGTGATTAAACACGAAATATCCCTCGGGCCGTGACATAATAAGACTCGGTTTCCTCAATACACACCCACGTGGACTAATTAGCACTATGAACTAACCACTGTTATTCCTGACAGCTAATGGAAATAAAGGTGCTGTTAAAAGTAGGCAGAAAGGGTCATTTTGCTGAAGCTAGGCAGATGTTATTTAACAGCTACACTGACTCAATAATGCTTTATTAATCCTGTCGCCCCCCTTGATTATCTTTAGCGCACGTTCTAGATGAGCTCTGTTCCCACTACAGTAACAGTGAGCACAGTGGAGGTTTCATAATTAACAGTACTTAACCAGATTTCTCACCAGGTCTAAAACTAGGCAGCAGTGGGTTGAGATTTAAACTGTAGTGTCTATTGAATATTCATTGTTTGTGCATATTTAAATTGCAATATATTAACTTTGCTCCAAAATTAGTGAGCTGTCTTTTTGTCTATTGTTTACAGACAGCCACATTTTAAAGCAGCATCATGGAACTACACAAAATATATTTTGTAGACTGAGTTTAACGTTAACATTTTGCTAAGCTAACAATGCAATAATCTAAAACGCACACAAAATTTGTCATATTAAATCAAAGACAACTTAAAACTTGGATTGTCTAATCTATTAATATGCCCAATATATACTACCGTTAAAAGTTTTTTTTTTTTTTTTACACGTTTTTGAAGAAAACATAAGTGCTCATCAAGGCTGATTTATTTAATCAAAACTACAGTAATATTGTAAAATATTTTTTTTAAAAGAAGTAATGCATTAAAAAGATAATGCATCTTTATAACAATATCCTTCGTTTTATTTTCACAACCTAAGTTGTTTGGAAAGACTATTTATTTCGACAGCTTTGCAACCTTGCCTACTGAATGTTTCTTTTGCATCAAATTAAATATGGCATTTTCTCTGACTAAGGTCTACTGCACTCCTTTATGTACCTTATAACGTCTGACAGCTTTACACACCCTTGCATTTCTTCAACATCTTTCAGAAGCAGCAACAGATGGAGACATTTCTCATTTTTTTCATGACTCCAAAGAAAAATCTGTCTTTTAAGCTTGGTTTTCAACTAGCCTTGACAATTCCTTGATAAACAGCACAAAGCCCACGTAGCATTTAACCTGAGGCAAATCTGCACTAAAGCAACCAAGGTTCCTTTTAAAAAAAGTGAACAGATGATACTGTGCTGGGTGAGCGAATGCGTGTGTGTAGGATAAATGTACTGCATGAATACATGCATAATGAGCTTGATTTGGTCCTTTCCCACTGGCTTTACTGCAGCACCTCTCTCTTTTGTCTCTGGGGTCATGTCAAGTCTTTTTATCTCCACAAAGACGACTCAATAACTTTTTTACAAGGTGATGATTTTGTATGAGTGTGTACAAAGTGAATTGTATGATGGTCCACCCTTAAATAAAATCACTGGGGTGTAAACAGATTGTATGAAAACAAAACTCCCAAAACTCAGATAGACTGCAGATTAAGTGCGTAAATCTAAAACGCAGCATATGGTAAATCCCAGTGATGCCATATCTAACATTTTAGGTTTACAACACCCTTAATATTGTTGTAATTACTTTTCTCAAGTTCTCAGCAAAGAAAAAAATGAATCTATTCTACTTTAGAGATTTGCATTTTGAGAGCACAGCACACACACACACACACACACACACACACACACACACACACACACACACACACAGGGTGTGTTTATAGGCTAAACTCAGAGTGAACACCTTTACTGCAGTAATCCATCAGTGTTTTCTTTTCCCAGAACTCCCTCTTCTCTTGCTCGTTCTCTTGTATTAGGCTATTAGGAGAAGTTCTATCAGAGACAGATTGCTGCTTAAAGCAGTTCATAATCATCGTAATCTCACACATACTTCAACATGTCCACACTGGGCTTTAAAATGAGAACAGCAGGAAAAGCAGGGGGAAAAGCAATTAAACCGACTTAACAGCATTAGGCTTGTTGCTGGATTCAGGATGTCATGGTCGATCTGGCGTTGTTGATGGAAGTACGGCGCTTTGACTACAACACTGCGCATTCACAGTCATCTGGATACGCTTTGATGTTAATATTTCATTACTGAGATGCAAGCAGAGAAATAAGAATCAAATGAAATTATCCTCAGTGAACGTGAAGGGTGTGCAACAGCCAATATAAAACAGAACAACAGAGGGATATTTCCCTTGATGTTACAAGAAGAGACCTTTTTAATCTTCAATTAAACTCAACGCCATTAAGGAGAAACAATTGATTGGTTAAAATGATCTTATTTTTGATTTATCTTATTGGCTGAACAAGCAAGCTTAAGCAGAACAAACAAAGAATGTTCTGGGTTGTTCATAAATGGCTGGCCATTATTGTTCATGAATAGGTTGTTCATAAATGTCTGGCCATTTCTGTACATGGTCAAATTACATCATTGCAGAAACAGGAAATAACGGACAATTATTTTGGAGTTTGCAGGAGACAGACAAAACCTGCCTCAGCTGACTGAAGGTCAAGCTGTGTTGTTAGTGTGTCTGTGAACTCTATACATTTCGTGCTGAGTGTTTATCACTTTGTGTTGGTGTCTGATTCAACACTGCTCTCCCCCGTGTTCTTTCATTCACTCCAATCACCTGTTCTGTCATATGCGCAATTCATGATTTTTCTACCTATCTACCTATCGCTCTGATCTAAAACCTAGCAAACTGGTAGCGACTTTCTAAGGCAGCATACTAACTGAAATGGAATATCATAATTAACTGATTTGACTTGTTTTAAACCATTCATCAAATATCTCTCATACAGCCCACCAAAAAACAGTTGACTCCACACATTAATATTTCAAACCCATAACAGAAAAGCCTGTGCTAATCTAACCCACCGATAATCACTGGCCTCCTTATCTGGTTAATTTATGAAAAGCCATCAATCATTGAATATGTTGATCGTATTTGCGCAGAGTGGAGAGTGATAAATGGCACTACATTTATGAAGAGCAAAAAAAAAAGGATGTCAAACTCTTTCGCCACTCACTCTGCATGGGCATCGATCTGATCAAGTGGATGATCTGCAATGTCACGGCTGTGCATAATGTCATGAACATGCAATAAATTAATGAAAAATCAAAACTCACGTATGGTACAGTTTCCAAAGTGTCCGTGTTGACAATAATTGGAGCAGGACTTGCCTGTGAAAAGACAGAAAGAGAGGGCGAGAGAGATGGACGGAGAGGAAAACAGAAAGAGAAAGAGATAAAGATCAGAGTGGATTGGAGATGCGTGAACTGGCCTAGATTTTATTAAGGGATACAGCAGAGCATGATGGGCACCGCTGAGCTCACAGATGCCATGATGAAGAACACGACTTCAAAACGACAGTTGACAGCAAAACAGATCTACACTACAAACACACACACACACAGATCGGTTAGATGAAGGATGAAAAACATGACATCATTTAGGAGTATGGTCATTGCTGGAAAAAAAGTTTGTATGACATGAAGGTTGAAACTGTTTATATCTCTCCCTGTTTGTCTCTTTTGCTATATAGCTTCTGATAACAACACAAAGTCAATTCATTTCTCCCACACAGCAGCGAGGCCAGAAATCTCGGTGGGTGGACGTCTATTCTGTACCTTCTCTGTAATTTCATTGAGTGTTGTGAAATGTAACCCCATCATTAGCCTTTATTAGAAAATATTAGCTCATTTTACACAGAATTATGTAGAGCTGCACAATTCACTGTGCAATAATGGCACACTTAAGCTAAATTTTAACGTTATAGGTAATAATGATATCTGTGGTGCTGGAGGCAAGAATAAATCTTGTGAACTACTACAGAACACAAAACCTGACAAAAAATTTTTTCAAGCTACAAGTAATATGATGATATACAGACAATTATTATTTTTTTATAATTAAAAACAAATTAATATTTGAATGGGTAAATAAGCAGTCAGTTTGGGTGGACCAGTGACACTGTTGGCCTTATATGACCTCAAATATGAGCCAAATTCAGATATAAACGCACTAAAAAAGCTTAATCACATTTGCTACTAGATTAGGAAAACTTTCATTTAGATAAATGTCCTCATAGAGTGAAGTGGCTGTGAGTGATAATTCAAAGTATTACTCAGAATATAGTGAAATAATGTCAACCATTACTCATATATTACAGTTCAAACATTTGAGGTCAGTAAGTTTTTTTTAACATTTCTATTCAGATACAAAAGTGACAAAGATAGTTGGAATGATACATTAAGGATTTCTATTTCAATACATGCTTTTCTTTTGAACTTTCTATTCATCAAAGAATCCTAAAAAAAGATATTAAGCAGAACAAGTTTCATCATTGATGATAATAAAAAAAATGTTTCTTGAGCACCAAATCAGCATATTAGAATGATTTCTGAAGGATCATTTGACACTGAAGACTGGAGAAATGGCTGCTGAAAATTCAGCTGTCACCATAGGAATAAATTATATTTTAATATATAATAAAATAGAAAACAATTCTGAAATTTTGTTGTAATAACATTTCAAATTTTAAATGTTTTTACAATACTTTTCATCAAATAAATGCAGCCATGGTGAGCATTAAAAAAAAATCTGGAAAACAAAAATCTAAAAACATGTCGTAGCAAACCTTCATGTGAACCCCACTGTGACTAAAGATTCTAACACACACTTTTCCAATCATTTTGTCACCAGCAGCAGCCGAGCATTTTTAATAGAGCATTTTGAAGCTAACAACAGCTAATACTAATATACAATACAGATTGTGTCAAAGCAGCTTTACTGTGCTGAACAGGAAAATAGTTTGATAATGCATAAGGACAATAGTAAACACTCAATTTTTCAGTTAGTCAGTTCATTATTGATTCAGTGATGTCATCTTCCATCTCAGCTCAGTTTAAATAGTGTCTGTGCTATGAAGTCGACAATATTGCCAGATAATAATCTAATGACACCAAACAGTTCGTCATATGCTTTGCCTGCACAACTCAATGTCTTTTGAATTTTTTCTAGTTTCAGAAAGCACTTGAGCCTGCATCATTTGCATTAATCCCGCAGTTCTTCAAAGCAACACATGCTCAACCAATGGCAGGGCTGTTTTTCTGACCAACGGCAGACCTGTGTTAAGAACCCTAATTGAAAACAAGTCATTATTTTTGTAATTCTGTTTGGTGCCACTAGGGTTGTAACGGTATGAGATTTTCACTGTATGATAATCATCTCAGAAAATATCACGGTTTCACGGTTATCACGGTATATATTAAACAATAATTCTTATCAGTAACAATGACTCTTAAGAGAACAAGAACAATTTATTTGAGTGAACAAATCCTTTATTACAACAAACTTGAAGTCTCCCTTCTGAAAAAAAAAAAAAATTTATTAGAAAAACAATAAAAAATAAAGCTGTACACCTTATCACACTTGAACATTTTAATTAATGTTTTAAAATGTTATCAAATGAAAATTTACAACTCCTTTAAAACATGGACAAACATGATATTCCTTAAAAACAATGTTTAATAAATAATTTTATTATAAAGAATATTATTATTGTTATTATTATAACTTTGAAGTATATAAATGCTAATATATTTATTATAATTTCAAATTAAATCGAATGTTTATTTTGATGGGTTGTAGCGGACCAGAGTATATTTGACAATGGTTTTTCTCAAGTAAAACTAGGAAATGTTTATTTACGTTTTCTCTCAGAGCAGCTCTGCTGATGTTCGTGTTTATGTAGATGCTGAAAACACCATTAGTGTCATGCATACTTCAGTATGCGGTAGATAAAACGCCGCCACTCAGAGCCATGCAGAAACAAGCAGATTATATATATAGCTGTCTCTTTGCGCATAAATATTCACAGACACATTATATCTACTTTTGATTTATCCATCCATCAGACTGCGCGTTTTACGTGACATCCTCGTTATACTGTAAATTCCATGTTCACGACTGCACAGGGATTCCCTCTGCATCACGGAAATCATACGGCCTTAACTTATAACTTGTTATTAATGCGACACCTTCATCTGCACGGAGGGATGGTGTCCACGAATATGAGCGAAGATGTTGGATGTATTGCCTGCTTTTGCAGCCACTTTGCATCCACATTTTTTGCAGAAGGACAACCCCGCGTTTTTTTTTTTTTAAAGGGGTCATATGATGTTGCTAAAAATTGGCCGAATTCCTCAAGCGTGTGACGGAAATGTTACGCCCCTTACCATACTGTGATGATGCCCTGTCAGGCCGGAGCGATGATTCAAAAACATGAAAACCCATTATAAACGAGGCATTCGTTGCATCCAGTGGGGACATAATTATGGATTATAATGACTTATACTGTCTTTTTACGCGTTGCCTTTTAGGTAGGCGTGGCTGACTCTTAACTTTTATAAAGAATATCTCTTTGGATTTGAGACTTTAGTCTTTGCAACTTTACAGATCTTCTTTATGCACCAAGAGCTTGTAACACTCCAAAGAGAAAGGAAAAATTGAAATCGCATCATATGACCCCTTTAATATCCGAAGTATTCCCATACTGCAGATTTTAACTATTTTTTCGGCGGGGATGGAGATTAGATATTATCTCTGTCGCTGTCATTTTCTCCGCTGCACGTGCGTGTAAGCAGCCAAGTGAATGCAGTGAAGCAGCCGAGCGGAAATAAGGTGCATATGCGCTGGTGAGATTTTTTTCATTCATTTTTTTTAAACCGTAGATATGAAAATGTTTACGGTATGATAACCGTGCACGTTCAAACCGTGTTTAAAATATTGTTACAACCCTAGGTGCCACTAGAGGCACACAACATTTAACAAGTAATGAAAGGTGGGCTAGCACACAACACAAACTCATTCAGCTGGAGGCTGTGAGGCTTATCACAGATGCATTAACATTCAGAGATGGCCTACTACACAAATCCCCAGGGAGATGCAGCCGGCAACTGAAGATCGATCGACAGCAGAGATTGAGGCTGTCCCTACTTACTGCGCACTGCCGCTAATTACATTAATACATCTCCCGCCTTGAGAGCTACAGCCTCAATCACCGAGGGATCGGAGAACCAGAGAGATGTGTTGGAAAGTACATGGCAAAAAGGAAAAACCACATTAAAATCTTTGCCACTGAGGTTTGAAATATAAAGTCAGCTTGAGTTCATACTAAACATTTTGTGTTTGTTTTACCCTGTAAAGCCTGACATATGAAATAATAGTCAATATATATATATTTTTTTAAATGGAACAGTTTATTGAACCTTCAGACTAAATTGAGTATCATATTTCAAGCATCAGGCTTTTATAGCTTATATGTATGATATAGGAGAATATGGAGTATTTTTTGTATGTATTTTTTATATGGTATGATATAGGAGAATATTTTTTCTTTCCACCTCGAGGAGGAAAGAAAAAACACCTCAATTTTATTCAGAGACCCAAACGGAGCAAAAATATGCCAATTTGTGCAGTTGCTGATATTTGAATGACCAAAATGTAAGAAGAAATTCTGATAGCTTGTAATGTAAATCAACGAGATCTTCGAAACAGTACAATAGACATAAAATGTATATAAATATTAGTTGTCACTCTATATTGCCCAATAATATGTCTTACAGTAGTAAGATGATATTTCAATGCTTAGGTTTATGATCAAAGCTCTGTAGTTTATTATTGTGTGGAGCAAAACATATAATGCCATGTATAGACGATCAAGTAAACCTTCAGTGCAGTAAGTGTTCATCTGGAAATATAACTATACATTTATTCTTACAGCTTATAAATATCAGTAAAGATTTGACATAAAAAAGACATATATACCACAACCTGAAGGTGGACATTTTTAGAATGATACTAAAAGCCTGTTTACTTGCTAAAAAGTATAATCATCAATCAGATGACATAATGTAGGAAATTGTGTACCATTGCCAAGTTCTGGCAAGTAAGTCCTTAACGCAAACTATGATGTTCAAAGTGTTAAACTACTTGGCACAAGGTGATTGGTTCATGTTGCATATGCAGCCAATGAGCTTACTTTACATTTAAATTGGGAAGGTCCCGTTCACATGCGGTTGGTTGCAGGGTTCCACAGGGCTCAGTTCTCGGACCTATCTTATTAATTCTTTACATGCTCCCCCTCGGCAAAGTCATCAGTCGCTTTGGAATTTCTTTC